CCAAAGCATCCATGATTGGACAGCAGTTGCGTGATGTGGAAATCCAATAACCCATGTTTCCTGCCCCTCCACAAGTTGATGTCTTGGATCAACCTCCTTGTCCATCCTCCATTGCTCTCGTTTGCCCACTCTGTCTGCCATTTCCTCAATGTCTCTGAACGGATCTCTGACGTTGCCCTTGCTGCGTCTGGCTCGTGTCTCCGCTTATATCTCTCGCACCTCTCCCAGGCTAAGAGGTGGGCCGGTATCATCCCTGCGATCACCAACACCGCTGCCGTTGACACCGTCCTGTACGCCATTATGGTCCGTATCGCGATGGCCCTCTGAGGTCTTTCCAACGTCGTTACATTGCGATTAAACGCCATCGCTGCACCCCATATCGGCGCTGCATACAGAAGCTTGCTTGCCACAACCGTAGCCAGGAGGGACCTCTTTTTCTGCCTCGGGCCTCCAATGTTAGGCATAAGCCTTGATAGCGCAGTCGCCGTGACTTGTGCACTGGCCGCTGCCGATTCCACGTGCGCCCTAAACCCGAGTACCCTGTGCAGCTCGACTCCTAAATACCTTATGCTCTCTTTCAGTTCGATGCGGCTGCCTAAGATTGAGAGGCTCGGCTGACTGTATCCCCTCTTCGTCGTCAACATGACTGCCTCTGTCTTCCTAACCGACAGAGATAGTCCAGCACCCATCATCCACTCGGCAACTTTATCCAATGCCTGATTGATAACCGTCTCTAGTATCCACGTAGTATGGCCTGTTGCCACCACAGCCACGTCATCGGCGAAGGCCACCAGTTCCGTGGACGACATACCTCGTTCATTGCCTCCTGTGTCCACTTGCAGGAGTTCGTCATACATTATATTCCACAGGAGAGGCCCAAGCACTGAACCTTGTGGGACACCGCACGTGGTGGGTGTTGAGCTCTCTCCGTGGACCACAGTCCGGTCACTAAGGTAGCTCTCGATTATACCAACGAGGTAGGGAGGCATACCTTTATCCCTCATGGCCTTTACTATCCTCGGCCATCTTGCCGAATTGAAGGTTAGGTTAGGTTAGGTTAGGTTAACCACAATTTCCGTTCTGGTGACCGCTGGGAAGTCATGGGTTTCCATGCGTGGTGGCCAGGCGATGGTTGCCTCCCTCGGGAATAGAGCGTCGACGATCGATTCCACTCTTCCTGGCGTGGAAAGTCCGGGAATGGGTCTCCTACCAACTAGTTTTTTGGTCACCAATTTGTATGGTAGGCCCCATGGATCCACTTCTACCTGTTTCAGTAGGTCGTTCCAGCTGTTCCGTTTGCTGACTCTGATGGCCACTTTCAGTTCTTTCCTAGCACGTCCAAACTCCTCCCGCCTTTGATCCTGATCCGGCTGCAGGCGTCCCCTCTTGACACGGCGTCTCGTTCTGTTGCATTCCTCACGAAGTTTTTCTATCTCCTGCGACCACCAAAAAGCCGGTTTTTTGCCTCCTGTGTACCTGCCCTTAGGCATACAACTGTCGCACGCTTGTTTAAGATACAGGTCGAGCATTTCCGTGGCTGGTATCGCTTCGTCACAGGTGATATCAATACTGGCCAAATTCATAAAGTCCCTTAGCTTGGAGTCGTCGTATCTCCTCCATGACCACCTTTCCTCCGGTGGACGGCGCTCTGGGCCGGCAGCTCCAGTGATGTTAAACGCAATATACTTGTGGAGGGATGCGCTGTAAAGATCCAGTACCCTCCAGTCCTGCACTTGGTAGCTGCTGCTGTCGTTGACAAACGTGATGTCGATATGCGATCTCGATATCCCGCCTGCATACACTCTAGTAAATGTCGGTTTGTCGCCGATGTTGCACGTAGTGAAGCCCAGACTGGCGGTCATGTCGACTAGTGCACGCCCCTTAGGTTCTTCATTGTGGTCGCCCCATACCGGTGCCTTCGCGTTGAAATCACCGGCGATTATGACCGTCCCTGCCTGTTGTCTTATGCTTCCCTCTAGCCTGTCAAGGAAGTCCACGAATAGGGTGAAGACGGTGTTTGGAGACCAATAGCAAGTGTACACAGTGACGTCCTCCACTTTGACCCATCTAAATCCCACGTTGTCTTTTGGGCCGGCGGCTCGTACTTGCAGCCTTGGATTTGATAGAAAGATGGCCGCCTTTCCACCGGCGTCACTGAACCATCCGTCTGCCTCAATCCCACAGCGATACGGTTCACTCATGATAATCACGTCGATGTTCATGTTCGATGCAGTGGCCAGGGCCAGGTCCTGCGCCACTCTGCACACTCCTACATTTATCTGTAGGACACTGATCATTTTGGTGTGCATTTGTCCTCCGTCGCTCCACTCGAGCGATATGATCCTGCGCTAGGCATGGATTTGGACCCTTGCACCACCCTGGCAAAGGCGCTAACCATGGGGTCAGTGGCACTGCAACTGGCCGCCTTGTGGCCGGTCTCTCCACAGCGCCGGCAGCACTCCGTTCTGTCCGGGCCATCGCATGCCTTCGACGTGTGCCCGTAAGCGAGGCAGTGGAAACACCTGACTTTTGGTTCAGCCATCCTAACTCTGCAGCTGACCATGCCAACCAGCAGTCGGCCGGAGCTGACCAATCCACGCGAGTCACTTAACGGGAGGGATACCAGCGCCATCTGGGAGTCGCCGAACCTCTTTCTTAGGCTTATCACTTTTACAGCCTCCTGGCCAACACCGGTGGATCTGCACACTTCATCGAGAACCTCTTTGGAGCTGGTCCACTGGTCGAGGTCGCGAACTTCGATCAGAGCCCTTTGTTGGAGGGTGCGCACCTCGGTCTCGGGACCCGCAGACTTCGCCACTTCGGCGCGGACAGCTTCGATCTGGGTCTGGTCACCGCGGACTTCAATTAGCAGGCCGCCAGACTTGGCCTGACGCATGCCTACCACACTATTTCCAATGATATCGTGGTTCACCCCGCCGCGAATTTTCTTGGACAGCTCCGGGAACTCTTCAGCCCCGACGGTTACGAGGATCGCTGACGGGCGCGTTCTCACCCGAGGCCGGGCAGTTGCGCTCTTGGTTGCGGGTGCGCGGTCATCGGACTTCCCGATGGGCATGGGTTTCGCCTTTTTGCTTCGCTTAACTACTTCTGTCCATGTTCCGAGCTGGCTTTCCTGGATGGTAGGTTCTTTGCTGGTCCCCCGGTCGGAGGGCTTTTGGTCCACTAGTTCTCTCACCACCTTGCTGAGTTCGCCGACTTCGTCCCTCAGCGAGCTGAATTCTTTTGCCAACTTTATGCTGCCGTCTTCGGCCTGTACAGCACCCGTGGTTGACGCGTGGGGCCCCGCTTTGCTCGCTACGTCCTTCAGCTTCTCCGCCACGTTCTGGCGCTGCTTTCGTGCGCTTCTCGCTTGATTGAAAGCGTTCATGGCTTCAGCGAGTGCCGTCTGCACCGGTTTTGCCACATTCTTTGCATCCCTCACGGCTTCGAGTGCGGTGTTCAGCCTTCTGCCCACTCTGTCAAACCACTCCTTTTCCGTGCTTTCCGCCGCGTCAACCATTTCACGTAAACGCTCCTCCGACGTTTCAGTCAGCAGCCCGTCCACTGGCTGGGCCGTCTGGGCCTTGTTACTGCTGGCGATAAGTTTGTCCGCAAGCGTGGACTTGACCGGTTCCATACTAGCACCCGACATGGGTCGTATGGCGAGGGGGTCAGGTTCCCCCTTCGTTGGTGTTGCGGCCCCGCCTTAGCTCGGGTGCGCGTTACAGAAGAATGAATCCGGAGGTTAACCTAACCTAACCTAGCGGTGAAGCAGTGCAGGGACCAAATCCGAAGGTATCAGCCCCTTGCTCCACAGCGCAGGATCGCTACCTCACTGTCCCTATCTTTTCCCCTAACTCCGCTCCTGGTGGGGGTAGCGGGTCCCGGTCTTCGGGATCGTATCCGGTGCGGTCGTGGTAGGACAGAGGGTTTGGGGAGGGCAAAATTTTTTTCCCGAAGCTCTAAAATCAAACCCCGACGAGTTATCCTCAAATAACTGTTTTTTGAAGGCAAATTTAAATTTGCCGCCAAACGACAGATAAGGCCGTCAGTTGGCCGCCGACACTAGGCCACACGCCGTCGGCTGGTCCCCGTCGCCTTATCACGGGGCAGTTCTTCCCCCGACGCGAAAACAGCTGGTACTCGGAAATTCCGTTTTCGCCCGGGCGGCTTTGGGCGGCCGTGTTAATGTATGGGGGAGTAGTAAAAATGCGATTACTCACCCGCTAAGCGTCGGAATTTGTCGGACGAGGGGTCCCTGGATAGGTCTGCTCGAGCCGCGTTCGCCGAGCCACCGCGCGCGGACGTAGCACTGGTGCTTCGGCAGCGAAGTCGCCGGCGGCGCGGGGACCTTGCCTGCGAGATTGCTCGGCCCCTGGGGGTCCGTGGGGGGCGCACGATGCACCGGGCCCTTCGGGAGGGCGCGGTGGTTCTTAATCAGGCCGACTCGAAATCGACACCGGCCCGAACGCGCACTTTTTAACGTAAGGGCTGAGACTGCGTAATACAGTAGCCGAAAACACACGGTAGATGGAAAAAACGCGATTTCTCAGCTAAAACTGGGCCGATTTGCGCGCGGTTTGAATTGGTCGACGCGGGACAACGTAACGCGTCGATTGAAACACACTGCGTAAAAAACGGGTAGGTATTTCGTGAGAAAAACTGAAATTGCTCGGGAGCGACGCGGAGAGACGTCCGTACTCTACGACAGCCCAACCTAACCTAACCTAACCTAACCTAACCTAACCTAACCTAACCTAACCTAACCTAACCTAACCTAACCTAACCTAACCTTTTTTTTTTTTTTTTTTTTTTTTTTTTACGGTATCGTGGAGTGCCGGAGACGCCCTAAGGCATTTCGTCAGCTCCCCCACATCGTTTATTGAACAAAAATCATACATAGGGATACATAATTGATAAAAATTACAAATAAATGGATGGCCCTACACCATCCAAAAATTGGCCTTCGGCCCACAGAAAATCAAACTTAGCTATGGGTGTTATTCTTGACGTTGCCGTTCTCTTTCCTCGGATTCCCTCTTCGTCAGCACCTCCTTCACGAATTGCTCTACTGCCGTCCAGTTGTACTGTGACTCCAGCATCTTCCCCACTACGGTCTCAGGAGTGAATGTGTCGTTGATAGTAACTTTCAGCTCCATTCTCCGACGCCACCACCTATCGCAAACGAAGATCGCGTGTTCTGCGTCGTCAACTGGCGCGAGACAGTCCACACACCTCGGGTTGTCCAGCTTCCGGATACGGTGCAGATACTGGCCGAAACATCCGTGTCCCGACAGGAATTGCGTCAGGTGGAATGTTGTCAGCCCGTGGCTCCTGGCGCACCAGGGACGGACGTCCGGGATCAACCGTCTGGTCCAGCTGCCAGATTCCTCCGTCGACCATCTCTCCTGCCACGCCTCCATTGTGTTGGTCCTCGGAACGTTGCCTGCCGTGGGTGCTGCGGGGCCCCGTCTCTGGTCGAACACCGTCTCTCTCTCCTTCGCCAAGAGGTCTGCAGGCGGCGTTGAGGCGATCACGTTAGTTGCCGCCTCGGAGACGGTGCGGTACGCGCAGGCACATCGGAGAAGAACTCTCCGTTGGGCTCTGTTCAGGGTCCGGACGTTTCCTGGCACGATCTCCAGCGTATGCGCCCAGCTAGGGGCACCGTATAGGAGCACCGAATGCACCACCGACGACAGGAGCCGTCGTCGGTCCTCTCGGGGCCCGCCCATGTTCGGCATGATCCTTGCCAACTGGTTCCCGATAGCCGCTGCTCTGGCTGCCGCTCTCTTCACATGGCCCTTGAACAGCATCGACTTGTCAACCACCATCCCAAGATAGGTCATCTCGGTCGAGAGTTGAATGTCGCCGCCGCACAGTCTGATCGCGGGCTGTGTGTACTTGTACTTGTACGTGAAGAGGACGGCTTCGGTCTTCTCCACCGCGATCTGAAGGCCAAAGTCAGTGATCCGCTTCTCCAACAGGGACAGTGCTTCATTGGTCACTTCTTCCAGCTCCTGGGTCGACTTGGCCCTGGTGACCAACATCGTGTCGTCCGCGAATCCCAGCAGCTTCGCTCCGCTGGGCAGCTCGGTTCTCAGGACGGCATCAAACGTAGCGTTCCATAGGAGGGGGCCTACGACGGAACCCTGGGGCACGCCTCCGGAAATCTCTATATCTAGGGTACCACCCTCCGCGCAGTTCGCGTGCACCGTTCCTGTCCTTCCGGAGAAGTACGACCTGAACATGTTCTGCAGGTATTGCGGGACGCTCCACCCCAGCAGGGCGTTCATGATGTCCGACCACTTGATGGAGTTGAATGCGTTCCGGATGTCGATGCTGACGGCTAGGCAGTACTTACCCTCGTTGACTCCTTCCAAGAGGTTGGCCTGTAACTCACGTACCGCGTCGTCCGTGGACTTCTTTTTCCTGAAGCCAAACTGGTTGTCCGAGAGCCCACCGCTGTCCGACATGTGGTCCTCTAGTCTTCGCGCGAGCAGGAACTCGAGGATCTTGCCGACGTCATTCAACAGGCAGAGAGGCCTGTAGGAAGAGGGTACACCGTCCGGCTTGTTCCCTTTTTTCAGCAGCACCACCCTAGCGGTCTTCCATTCCTTAGGGAAGGTCCCACTGCGGAGGCAGCTGTTGTATAGGTCCGGTAGGATGTTCGGGTGCGCCTTGTGCACCGCTCGGAGTATCTTGCCAGTGAGTCCGTCTGGGCCTGGGGCTTTGTTCTTGCTGCCCGCCCTCTCGACCGCCAAGTCCACTTCCCAAGCCGTGAACAGGACTACAGGATCCGCAGGGACCAGCGGGCCGTCCGTTCTCGCTTGGTGTTTCGGGAACAGGGTATCGACGACCGACTGCAGCGTCGCGTATTCCATCGAGGCTGTTGGTGGGGGACCTCTCAGCTTGCGCATCACCAGTTTGTATGGCTTACCGAACGGGTCGGTGTCCACTGAGGAAATTAGCTCTTTCCAGCACGTCTTCTTGCTGCGCAGGATGGCGATCTTCAACTGCCTCTTGGCTTCACGGTAAGCACCGTTGGTCAAGGCGAGCTCAGCTTCTGCCCGTTCTTCGTCGAACTCGTTGGCCTGGCGGCGCCGCAGTCTTGACACCCGGGCGGTCATCCTCGTCATCCGGCGTTTGGCCCTGGTGCAGTCGGCGCGGAGAGCCTCGATGTCCGCGTTCCACCAGTGAACGGGAGGCTTCCTATGATTGGGTGTCCGGCGGGCGGAAAAGGCAAGGTCACAGGCTGCTGTGACCCTCGATCGAAATGCGGAGGCCCCGCGCTCAGCATCTTGCCAGTCCTGGAGGCCGCCTTGCTCGAGCCACTCGGCCAGGATCAGTCCGGCGAGGAAGGTGTCGTTGGCGACACCGCCCGCAGTGTTCCAGGCGCGTGGGGCGACTGTTGTCGCGGGAGGGGCTCTGTCTCGGTCGCGTCCGGGAGTCAGGGAGAACCTGATGTAATGGTGATCGCTGTTGTTGAACACCGACTCCAGTACTCTCCAGTCTGTGATGCGAGCAGCCAAGGAGTCGCAGGACAGGGTGACGTCGACGATGGATCCGGCGCCTCTTGAGAAAGTTGGAGTTGAGCCCGAGTTCGCAATGACCAGGCCGAGGGACTCGATCAGCAGCTCCAGTTCTTCACCTCTCCTGTTGTCGACCCAGTCGCCCCACGCAGCGGATCTCGCGTTGAGGTCCCCGGTGACGAGGACGGGGGCTTCCTGTTGAACGGTCCTGATGCTGTCCTCGAGACGGCGGAGAAGGTCCTGGAAGTCTTCGAGGGGTCTGTTGGGCGACGCGTAGCAGCTGTACACTTGGACGCCGTTAAGCCGAACTGAGACGAACTCGGGGTCGCTGATGACGTTGGCCACCGTTACTCCCGTGCTCGCAACATAGATGGCCGCCTTCCGTTGTCCTGCGCTCACGTGCCAGGCGCTGGATGGGTTATCCGCATTGTAGGGGTCGCTGAGCAGGGCAACGTCGACTCTTTCTTCAACCATGAATTGCGCGACGAGGTCTTGTGCCACGCGACAATGGTTGAGGTTGACTTGCACGAAGTTGAGTCCCATCACACCGCACTACTTGCTTCTGCAAGCGTCCCACAACTTGAGGTTGGGGGCTGCGGCTGCGGCTGCTGCTGCGCCTGCTTCTGTAGGGCGCAGTCCTTCACCAGGTGGTCATCTTTATTGCATCTGTGGCAGCGGCGGGGCTTGACCTCGCCAAGGCACTCGGCAGCCAGGTGTCCTTTTCCTTGGCAGCGGAAGCAGGTAGGTTGGTTGTTAGCCAACAGCTTGACCCTGCACCTGGTCCACTCCACGGTGACCGTTTTCTTCTCCGCCAGCGTGATGGCGTCCTTGAGCGGCAAGTGGAGGCTCGCGACGAACTCCCCTCTACCACCGGAGTTCTTGCGAATGATCACGTTCTCAGAGGTGACTCCAGTGACTCCCGCCTGAGTGACGCCGGCAATGACGTTCTCTGCCTCTGCCCATTCCGGAATTCCCAGAAGTAGAACGGGCGTACGGGGCTCGGGTAACCTGACCCTGGCCGCATCTCCTACCACCTCCCGGATCTTCCCAGCTAGCAGTATGGCTTTTTCGTTCCCCTCAACCTCAAGGAGAATTCCTCCCGCTCTGGTCTTTCTTGTCGTCAGGACCTTGACGCCAAGGGACTGGAGGTTGATTGACCTCGATACTTTCTTCATCACGGAGGCTAGGGAGCCTCCTTCTGCCGGGCGGTCGATAGTCACCGCCATGGATCGCGGAGCCCGCTTCCGCAGGAGAGCCACTTGGTCGGTGGTAGGGCGTGGTTGTTGGGCCGGCTTCGGTGGCTTCCTCTTTCTAACGGCCTCACTCCAGGTCTGCTGCTGCTGCTGGGGTTCCTGCTGGGGTTCCTGCTGCGGTTCCTGCGCTTGTTCATGCTGTTGCCGACCCTGCTCCTGCACCTCTTCAGGTGCCTGTTGCTCTCGCTGCTGTCGCTGTTTTGGCGACTTTTGTTGCTGCTGATGCTGCTGCTTCAGCGACTTTTGTTGCTGCTGCCTCTGCTTTTTTGCAGTGGCTGCGGTTGATTGTTCTTGCTGTTGTTGCTGCTGGCCGCGCTCCTGCTGCTCGGTGTTCGACCGTTTCTCTAGGTGCAGCTGGTTCCGCTCTACCACTAGCTGGTCGATTGATCCCTGCTGCGACGTCAACTGCTCCTGGATTCTTTCCAGCATTGCCATGAGGGGACCGTCTGGCTTCTCGGGATTCGTCAGCGTTGGCGTTTGTGTGGCCGCGCATTTCCCAGCGACCTTCACTTCTAGCTTCTGAACGTTCTGCCCCTTGTCGCCAGTTCCCTGCTTTTTCACTTTTATGTACTGCGTTAGGAGCATACGCAGTTTTGGGAGAGTATCCTTAATCTCCCTGTGTACATTGCGCGTGGCCAACGCAAATTTTTCCATGCTTGCAACGTAGTGGAGGGTTTTGTCTAACAACTCAGCTTCTTTGAGGGTGGTGATGTCGATTACCCTCACGGCGGGCGACGCTTCAGCCCCCACGTACGTCTCAGCAGTTCCTTTGGTGCATCCGTGTCCTTCTTTATCCTCTTGTCCGTTTTCCAGTTTTCCAGTCTTGTTTCCAGTTATGGACGGGCCCCCCCCTGAATCCGTGGGGCCCTTGGTCAGGGGTAAATTTCCAGAATTTTGATCCATGTGTGATTATTGTGGTGAATTCTAACCAGCGTTTTAGCCCTACCGCCAGGGGGGGAATTTACAGTTGCCTTCTGGGGGATTTACAGTTACCATCTGAGTCCGTTTGCTGTAGGTAGCAGGTGGACTGGTCCTGCCAGCCCCAACGTGTTGGGTCTGGGCTGGCTCTGGTTTACAGTTCCCTTCTGTGTCCGTTTGCCAATGCTGGTAGGTGGACTAGTCCTGCCGGTGCCGACCAGTAAAGGTCAGGACCGGCGCTGTGGGTGGAACCGCTTAGCACGGACCAAGCAAATGGCCCGTGAGCCCCCCCACCACGACAAGGTGGGTCCCGTCGGGGGGGAACCTAACCTAACCTAACCTAACCTAACCTAACCTAACCTAACCTAACCTAACCTAACCTAACCTAACCTAACCTAACCTTTTTTTTTTTTTTTTTTTGTGTTTGAACCACGGCGCTACGAGGAGGTACTTCACCCGTGAGGGCCGTCCTTCTCCCCGTATCCGTATCATTTATTGTGAAATTACAAATAAATTACAATAAACGCAACAACAATTACGAGCTTTGCTCAACAAAAAAGAGAGGACTCTACTCCTCTAACTTCCGCCTTCGGCGTACAAAAAAAAAAAATAATTACACTCATTCTACCCTAAGTCGCTGTCGCACCCTTTCCTCGTGCTCCCTTGTGGACTGGACGAGGTTGACGAATCTGACAACTGCTTCCCAATTGCTCCGTTTCTCCACCATGATACTCACGATGTTATCGGGGGACACGTCCTCTTCCACCTCCACCTCCAGCGCCCTGCGTTGTTTCCACCATCTGCCGCAGACGAAGAAGACATGTTCCGCATCATCAACTTGTTCTTGACAATCCACACATGCTGCCGTGTCCAGCTTCCCGATCCTGTGGAGGTATTCACCAAAGCATCCATGATTGGACAGCAGTTGCGTGATGTGGAAATCCAATAACCCATGTTTCCTGCCCCTCCACAAGTTGATGTCTTGGATCAACCTCCTTGTCCATCCTCCATTGCTCTCGTTTGCCCACTCTGTCTGCCATTTCCTCAATGTCTCTGAACGGATCTCTGACGTTGCCCTTGCTGCGTCTGGCTCGTGTCTCCGCTTATATCTCTCGCACCTCTCCCAGGCTAAGAGGTGGGCCGGTATCATCCCTGCGATCACCAACACCGCTGCCGTTGACACCGTCCTGTACGCCATTATGGTCCGTATCGCGATGGCCCTCTGAGGCCTTTCCAACGTCGTTACATTGCGATTAAACGCCATCGCTGCACCCCATATCGGCGCTGCATACAGAAGCTTGCTTGCCACAACCGTAGCCAGGAGGGACCTCTTTTTCTGCCTCGGGCCTCCAATGTTAGGCATAAGCCTTGATAGCGCAGTCGCCGTGACTTGTGCACTGGCCGCTGCCGATTCCACGTGCGCCCTAAACCCGAGTACCCTGTGCAGCACGACTCCTAAATACCTTATGCTCTCTTTCAGTTCGATGCGGCTGCCTAAGATTGAGAGGCTCGGCTGACTGTATCCCCTCTTCGTCGTCAACATGACTGCCTCTGTCTTCCTAACCGACAGAGATAGTCCAGCACCCATCATCCACTCGGCAACTTTATCCAATGCCTGATTGATAACCGTCTCTAGTATCCACGTAGTATGGCCTGTTGCCACCACAGCCACGTCATCGGCGAAGGCCACCAGTTCCGTGGACGACATACCTCGTTCATTGCCTCCTGTGTCCACTTGCAGGAGTTCGTCATACATTATATTCCACAGGAGAGGCCCAAGCACTGAACCTTGTGGGACACCGCACGTGGTGGGTGTTGAGCTCTCTCCGTGGACCACAGTCCGGTCACTAAGGTAGCTCTCGATTATACCAACGAGGTAGGGAGGCATACCTTTATCCCTCATGGCCTTTACTATCCTCGGCCATCTTGCCGAATTGAAAGCATTCGCCACGTCCAACGCCACGACTGCGCACAGCTTTCTGTTGTAAAGCTGTCCAGAGCCGGCTGCTTCTACAACATCCAACACGCGTCTTATGGCGTCCACCGTCGACCGCCCCTTTCTAAAACCGTATTGACGGTCATCGAGGTCACCGGCTTCCTCGAGCTGTTTTTCGATGCGGGTCTTTATTAGTCTTTCGAAAAATTTGCCTACCGTGTTTAGCAAGCAAATTGGTCTATAAGAGGAGGGTTCCTCGAGAGGTTTGTCCCCTTTCCTTAGAAGCACGAGCTTCGCTATCTTCCAACGATGTGGGAAGACGCTCTCCTTTAGACATTTATTAAAGATGTCCCGTAGTATCTCTGGCTTGTGCCTAGCGACGTTTCTTACAATCAGGTCGGGTACACCATCAGGTCCCGGTGCCTTTCCTCGGGGGATCCTGCTGCTGAGCTCCACAATTTCCGTTCTGGTGACCGCTGGGAAGTCATGGGTTTCCATGCGTGGTGGCCAGGCGATGGTTGCCTCCCTCGGGAATAGAGCGTCGACGATCGATTCCACTCTTCCTGGCGTGGAAAGTCCGGGAATGGGTCTCCTACCAACTAGTTTTTTGGTCACCAATTTGTATGGTAGGCCCCATGGATCCACTTCTACCTGTTTCAGTAGGTCGTTCCAGCTGTTCCGTTTGCTGACTCTGATGGCCACTTTCAGTTCTTTCCTAGCACGTCCAAACTCCTCCCGCCTTTGATCCTGATCCGGCTGCAGGCGTCCCCTCTTGACACGGCGTCTCGTTCTGTTGCATTCCTCACGAAGTTTTTCTATCTCCTGCGACCACCAAAAAGCCGGTTTTTTGCCTCCTGTGTACCTGCCCTTAGGCATACAACTGTCGCACGCTTGTTTAAGATACAGGTCGAGCATTTCCGTGGCTGGTATCGCTTCGTCACAGGTGATATCAATACTGGCCAAATTCATAAAGTCCCTTAGCTTGGAGTCGTCGTATCTCCTCCATGACCACCTTTCCTCCGGTGGACGGCGCTCTGGGCCGGCAGCTCCAGTGATGTTAAACGCAATATACTTGTGGAGGGATGCGCTGTAAAGATCCAGTACCCTCCAGTCCTGCACTTGGTAGCTGCTGCTGTCGTTGACAAACGTGATGTCGATATGCGATCTCGATATCCCGCCTGCATACACTCTAGTAAATGTCGGTTTGTCGCCGATGTTGCACGTAGTGAAGCCCAGACTGGCGGTCATGTCGACTAGTGCACGCCCCTTAGGTTCTTCATTGTGGTCGCCCCATACCGGTGCCTTCGCGTTGAAATCACCGGCGATTATGACCGTCCCTGCCTGTTGTCTTATGCTTCCCTCTAGCCTGTCAAGGAAGTCCACGAATAGGGTGAAGACGGTGTTTGGAGACCAATAGCAAGTGTACACAGTGACGTCCTCCACTTTGACCCATCTAAATCCCACGTTGTCTTTTGGGCCGGCGGCTCGTACTTGCAGCCTTGGATTTGATAGAAAGATGGCCGCCTTTCCACCGGCGTCACTGAACCATCCGTCTGCCTCAATCCCACAGCGATACGGTTCACTCATGATAATCACGTCGATGTTCATGTTCGATGCAGTGGCCAGGGCCAGGTCCTGCGCCACTCTGCACACTCCTACATTTATCTGTAGGACACTGATCATTTTGGTGTGCATTTGTCCTCCGTCGCTCCACTCGAGCGATATGATCCTGCACTAGGCATGGATTTGGACGCCTGCAACACCTCGGCAAAAACGTTTGCCGCTTGATCCGTGGCACTACAGTTGGCCGCTTTGTGGCCAGTTTCGCCGCAGCGCCTGCAGCACTCGGTCCTATCTGGACCTTGGCATGACTTGGCCTCATGGCCGTATGCCAGACACTTAAAACACCTAACTTTGGCGTCGCAGTGCCTGACACTACAGCTCACCATACCCACCCTCAGCCGACCTTGACTAACGATCACCTGCGTAACCTCCTTGGGGGCGGAGACTAAGGCGAGTTGGGCTCCACCGAAGCGCTTCCGCATTCTCACTAGCCTTATCGTGCTCGGGTCGCATCCTGTGGCCGAAGTTATGGCTTCGAGGACCTCAGGTCCATCTGACCATTGGTCCAGGTCCCTGATTTCTACCAGCTCCCTCTGCTGCAGTGTCCTGACACCGATTTCGGCCCCTGCAGATCTCGCAATCTCTGCTCTCACTGCGGACACTTCTTCCGGGTTGCCACGCACCTCAATGAGGAGGCCGCCGGACTTTGCCTGCCTCATCCCCACTACGCGGTTACCAATGACGTCTCGGCATGCCCCACTGCGGATTTTCTTCGCGAGCTCGGGGAAGTCCTCATTGCTGACGTCCACTAGGATGGCCGGGGGGCGTGCTCCCCGTCGACGGCTCGGCACCCGCTCGGTTAATTGGACGTCTGTTTTGTCGCCTTTGTCCTTCTTGCCCTTGCTCCTAACCACGTCCGTCCAGGCTGTCTGCTTTCCCCGCTCTGCCATCTCATCCATCTTTGCGCTCTGCGCTTCGAGCAGCGTCTGCAGATTAGCGACTGCCGCCTTGACTTCCGCGCTGTCGGTGCCGCCAGGTCTGTCGTATTCTCCAGCCTCATTTCCTCCGGACGTCCTTGTGCCAACTCTTGAGATGGCGTCTAGTACTGTCTTATTAGACTCATTAACCACCGCACTTAAGTTCTGGGTCAGAATAGTCACCACTTTCTTGGCGTCCACTACCATAACCTTACTGCCAACTGCCTGGCTCCTCATCACTCTCATCTCGGCGTTATTACTCTCGATGGACCCTATGATGTTGATCACCTGGTCAACGCTCTCCTTGAGCCCCTTTACCTGCGTGCGCTTAGCCATCTCCTTCAAAGACTCTGCCTCAGCCTTGAGCATTCGGAAGAGCCCCGAGTCTTTTCCCTCGAGGTATTCAAGTGTCACTGTGGCTGGCTGTGAGGGCGGGGATTCCATGTCAGAGTTCGGCATGGTGTCCGTGGCAAGGGAGAGGTCCGGCGACCCTTGCCCCCTTTGCTTCTACCACTTCTCCACTCAGCAGCGGGCGGTGAAGCAGTGCAGGGACCAAATCCGAAGGTATCGGAACCTACACTAGCTATGATTGCCGTTTGCCTCACTGTCCCTATCCCGGTTCACTGTCCCTATCCTTTCCCCTAACTCCGCTCCTGGGGGGTGTAGGGGGTTCCGGATTGCGGGATGGTATCCGGTGTGGTCGTAGGAAACCTAACCTAACCTAACCTAACCTAACCTAACCTAACCTAACCTAACCTAACCTAACCTAACCTAACCTAACCTTTTTTTTTTTTTTTTTTTTTTTTTTTTTTTTTTTTTTTTTGTGTTTGAACCACGGCGCTACGAGGAGGTACTTCACCCGTGAGGGCCGTCCTTCTCCCCGTATCCGTATCATTTATTGTGAAATTACAAATAAATTACAATAAACGCAACAACAATTACGAGCTTTGCTCAACAAAAAAGAGAGGACTCTACTCCTCTAACTTCCGCCTTCGGCGTACAAAAAATAATTACACTCATTCTACCCTAAGTCGCTGTCGCACCCTTTCCTCGTGCTCCCTTGTGGACTGGACGAGGTTGACGAATCTGACAACTGCTTCCCAATTGCTCCGTTTCTCCACCATGATACTCACGATGTTATCGGGGGACACGTCCTCTTCCACCTCCACCTCCAGCGCCCTGCGTTGTTTCCACCATCTGCCGCAGACGAAGAAGACATGTTCCGCATCATCAACTTGTTCTTGACAATCCACACATGCTGCCGTGTCCAGCTTCCCGATCCTGTGGAGGTATTCACCAAAGCATCCATGATTGGACAGCAGTTGCGTGATGTGGAAATCCAATAACCCATGTTTCCTGCCCCTCCACAAGTTGATGTCTTGGATCAACCTCCTTGTCCATCCTCCATTGCTCTCGTTTGCCCACTCTGTCTGCCATTTCCTCAATGTCTCTGAACGGATCTCTGACGTTGCCCTTGCTGCGTCTGGCTCGTGTCTCCGCTTATATCTCTCGCACCTCTCCCAGGCTAAGAGGTGGGCCGGTATCATCCCTGCGATCACCAACACCGCTGCCGTTGACACCGTCCTGTACGCCATTATGGTCCGTATCGCGATGGCCCTCTGAGGCCTTTCCAACGTCGTTACATTGCGATTAAACGCCATCGCTGCACCCCATATCGGCGCTGCATACAGAAGCTTGCTTGCCACAACCGTAGCCAGGAGGGACCTCTTTTTCTGCCTCGGGCCTCCAATGTTAGGCATAAGCCTTGATAGCGCAGTCGCCGTGACTTGTGCACTGGCCGCTGCCGATTCCACGTGCGCCCTAAACCCGAGTACCCTGTGCAGCACGACTCCTAAATACCTTATGCTCTCTTTCAGTTCGATGCGGCTGCCTAAGATTGAGAGGCTCGGCTGACTGTATCCCCTCTTCGTCGTCAACATGACTGCCTCTGTCTTCCTAACCGACAGAGATAGTCCAGCACCCATCATCCACTCGGCAACTTTATCCAATGCCTGATTGATAACCGTCTCTAGTATCCACGTAGTATGGCCTGTTGCCACCACAGCCACGTCATCGGCGAAGGCCACCAGTTCCGTGGACGACATACCTCGTTCATTGCCTCCTGTGTCCACTTGCAGGAGTTCGTCATACATTATATTCCACAGGAGAGGCCCAAGCACTGAACCTTGTGGGACACCGCACGTGGTGGGTGTTGAGCTCTCTCCGTGGACCACAGTCCGGTCACTAAGGTAGCTCTCGATTATACCAACGAGGTAGGGAGGCATACCTTTATCCCTCATGGCCTTTACTATCCTCGGCCATCTTGCCGAATTGAAAGCATTCGCCACGTCCAACACCACGACTGCGCACAGCTTTCTGTTGTAAAGCTGTCCAGAGCCGGCTGCTTCTACAACATCCAACACGCGTCTTATGGCGTCCACCGTCGACCGCCCCTTTCTAAAACCGTATTGACGGTCATCGAGGTCACCGGCTTCCTCGAGCTGTTTTTCGATGCGGGTCTTTATTAGTCTTTCGAAAAATTTGCCTACCGTGTTTAGCAAGCAAATTGGTCTATAAGAGGAGGGTTCCTCGAGAGGTTTGTCCCCTTTCCTTAGAAGCACGAGCTTCGCTATCTTCCAACGATGTGGGAAGACGCTCTCCTTTAGACATTTATTAAAGATGTCCCGTAGTATCTCTGGCTTGTGCCTAGCGACGTTTCTTACAATCAGGTCGGGTACACCATCAGGTCCCGGTGCCTTTCCTCGGGGGATCCTGCTGCTGAGCTCCACAATTTCCGTTCTGGTGACCGCTGGGAAGTCATGGGTTTCCATGCGTGGTGGCCAGGCGATGGTTGCCTCCCTCGGGAATAGAGCGTCGACGATCGATTCCACTCTTCCTGGCGTGGAAAGTCCGGGAATGGGTCTCCTACCAACTAGTTTTTTGGTCACCAATTTGTATGGTAGGCCCCATGGATCCACTTCTACCTGTTTCAGTAGGTCGTTCCAGCTGTTCCGTTTGCTGACTCTGATGGCCACTTTCAGTTCTTTCCTAGCACGTCCAAACTCCTCCCGCCTTTGATCCTGATCCGGCTGCAGGCGTCCCCTCTTGACACGGCGTCTCGTTCTGTTGCATTCCTCACGAAGTTTTTCTATCTCCTGCGACCACCAAAAAGCCGGTTTTTTGCCTCCTGTGTACCTGCCCTTAGGCATACAACTGTCGCACGCTTGTTTAAGATACAGGTCGAGCATTTCCGTGGCTGGTATCGCTTCGTCACAGGTGATATCAATACTGGCCAAATTCATAAAGTCCCTTAGCTTGGAGTCGTCGTATCTCCTCCATGACCACCTTTCCTCCGGTGGACGGCGCTCTGGGCCGGCAGCTCCAGTGATGTTAAACGCAATATACTTGTGGAGGGATGCGCTGTAAAGATCCAGTACCCTCCAGTCCTGCACTTGGTAGCTGCTGCTGTCGTTGACAAACGTGATGTCGATATGCGATCTCGATATCCCGCCTGCATACACTCTAGTAAATGTCGGTTTGTCGCCGATGTTGCACGTAGTGAAGCCCAGACTGGCGGTCATGTCGACTAGTGCACGCCCCTTAGGTTCTTCATTGTGGTCGCCCCATACCGGTGCCTTCGCGTTGAAATCACCGGCGATTATGACCGTCCCTGCCTGTTGTCTTATGCTTCCCTCTAGCCTGTCAAGGAAGTCCACGAATAGGGTGAAGACGGTGTTTGGAGACCAATAGCAAGTGTACACAGTGACGTCCTCCACTTTGACCCATCTAAATCCCACGTTGTCTTTTGGGCCGGCGGCTCGTACTTGCAGCCTTGGATTTGATAGAAAGATGGCCGCCTTTCCACCGGCGTCACTGAACCATCCGTCTGCCTCAATCCCACAGCGATACGGTTCACTCATGATAATCACGTCGATGTTCATGTTCGATGCAGTGGCCAGGGCCAGGTCCTGCGCCACTCTGCACACTCCTACATTTATCTGTAGGACACTGATCATTTTGGTGTGCATTTGTCCTCCGTCGCTCCGCTCGAGCGATATGATCCTGCGCTAGGCATGGATTTGGACGCCTGCAACACCTCGGCAAAAACGTTTGCCGCTTGATCCGTGGCACTACAGTTGGCCGCTTTGTGGCCAGTTTCGCCGCAGCGCCTGCAGCACTCGGTCCTATCTGGACCTTGGCATGACTTGGCCTCATGGCCGTATGCCAGACACTTAAAACACCTAACTTTGGCGTCGCAGTGCCTGACACTACAGCTCACCATACCCACCCTCAGCCGACCTTGACTAACGATCACCTGCGTAACCTCCTTGGGGGCGGAGACTAAGGCGAGTTGGGCTCCACCGAAGCGCTTCCGCATTCTCACTAGCCTTATCGTGCTCGGGTCGCATCCTGTGGCCGAAGTTATGGCTTCGAGGACCTCAGGTCCATCTGACCATTGGTCCAGGTCCCTGATTTCTACCAGCTCCCTCTGCTGCAGTGTCCTGACACCGATTTCGGCCCCTGCAGATCTCGCAATCTCTGCTCTCACTGCGGACACTTCTTCCGGGTTGCCACGCACCTCAATGAGGAGGCCGCCGGACTTTGCCTGCCTCATCCCCACTACGCGGTTACCAATGACGTCTCGGCATGCCCCACTGCGGATTTTCTTCGCGAGCTCGGGGAAGTCCTCATTGCTGACGTCCACTAGGATGGCCGGGGGGCGTGCTCCCCGTCGACGGCTCGGCACCCGCTCGGTTAATTGGACGTCTGTTTTGTCGCCTTTGTCCTTCTTGCCCTTGCTCCTAACCACGTCCGTCCAGGCTGTCTGCTTTCCCCGCTCTGCCATCTCATCCATCTTTGCGCTCTGCGCTTCGAGCAGCGTCTGCAGATTAGCGACTGCCGCCTTGACTTCCGCGCTGTCGGTGTCGCCAGGTCTGTCGTATTCTCCAGCCTCATTTCCTCCGGACGTCCTTGTGCCAACTCTTGAGATGGCGTCTAGTACTGTCTTATTAGACTCATTAACCACCGCACTTAAGTTCTGGGTCAGAATAGTCACCACTTTCTTGGCGTCCACTACCATAACCTTACTGCCAACTGCCTGGCTCCTCATCACTCTCATCTCGGCGTTATTACTCTCGATGGACCCTATGATGTTGATCACCTGGTCAACGCTCTCCTTGAGCCCCTTTACCTGCGTGCGCTTAGCCATCTCCTTCAAAGACTCTGCCTCAGCCTTGAGCATTCGGAAGAGCCCCGAGTCTTTTCCCTCGAGGTATTCAAGTGTCACTGTGGCTGGCTGTGAGGGCGGGGATTCCATGTCAGAGTTCGGCATGGTGTCCGTGGCAAGGGAGAGGTCCGGCGACCCTTGCCCCCTTTGCTTCTACCACTTCTCCACTCAGCAGCGGGCGGTGAAGCAGTGCAGGGACCAAATCCGAAGGTATCGGAACCTACACTAGCTATGATTGCCGTTTGCCTCACTGTCCCTATCCCGGTTCACTGTCCCTATCCTTTCCCCTAACTCCGCTCCTGGGGGGTGTAGGGGGTTCCGGATTGCGGGATGGTATCCGGTGTGGTCGTAGGAGGTCAGGGGGTTCGGGGGGGCAAAATTTTACTCCCGAAGCTCTAAAGTGAATTCCTAACGAGTTATTGCCAAAAAACTGTTTTGGAGGCAAATTTAAATTTGCCGCCAAAGGACAGATAATGCCGTCAATTGGCCGCCGACACTAGGCCACACGCCGTCGGCTGGTCCCCGTCGCCTTATCGCGGGGCAGTTCTTCCCCCGACGCGAGAATCAGCTGTTTCGCCGGAATTCCCGTTTTCCACACGGCGGCTTTGGGCGGCCGTGTAAAGAGATAGGGGGTAAAGAAAAACTCAGTTTACTCACCCGTTGTTTGTCGGAAAACTTCGGTCGAGGTGGCCACGGCTTCGTCTTCACCAGACGCGTCTTCTGGGCCACCGCGCGTGAACTTTCCGCGTGTGTTTCGGCCACAATCTTCACGGCGGCACAGGGGCTTGTCCTGTGTGCTTACTCGGCACCGAGGGGTCCGGGGTGGACGCGCGATGCACCGAGCCCTTCGGGAGGGTCCGGTGGGTCTTAATCGGGCCGACTCAAAAGCGACACCGGCCCGAACGCGCACTTTTTATCAAAAAAACGAATAGTGCGTAGCACAGTAGCTCAGTACACGTGTGTGACACGATAATTGAGATTTCTCGGCGAAAACTCAACCGATTTCCACGCGGTTTGTGGGAATCGACGCAGAGCGGACTAATGCGTCGATTCGAACGTTGCGCGCAAAAAACGAACCTAACCTAACCTAACCTAACCTAACCTAACCTAACCTAACCTAACCTAACCTAACCTAACCTAACCTAACCTAACCTAACCTAACCTAACCTAACCTAACCTAACCTAACCTAACCTAACCTAACCTAACCTAACCTAACCTAACCTAACCTAACCTAACCTAACCTAACCTAACCTAACCTCTTGCGGGCTCTGCTCGACTGGTGTGCGCTGCTGGGCTGGCTCTGCGGACTCCTCTCGTGACTGATGACCGACGGCCGGGTGGGCACACGTCCGTGGACCACTTCCGGGCGTCGGAATCGCACTTTCGACTTACGATTTTTTCACTTCTTGCGTTTTTTGACGTTTTTTGGCAATATCTCGGCCGGTATTTGTCTGAGGGCTTCGGGAGTGCCGAAAACCCCCCCTTACATCCCCCTGTCAGCTGGGGTGGCGACGGACCTGGTGCAGCAGACCCGACCCTCCTAGCCCAAAAGGGGGCGGAGGAATCGGACTTTGAAATTGCGTACTTCGGACTACTTGCATCTTACATGCGTGGGTGCTGCTGGGCTGGCTCTGCGGACTCCTCTCGTGACTGATGACCGACGGCCGGGTGGGCACACGTCCGTGGACCACTTCCCGGCGTCAGAATCGCACTTTCGACTTACGATTTTTTCACTCCTTGCGTTTTTTGACGTTTTTTGGCAATATCTCGGCCGGTATTTGTCTGAGGGCTTCGGGAGTGCCGAAAACCCCCCCTTACATCCCCCTGTCGGCAGGGGTGACGACGGATCTGATTCAGCAGACAAGACCCTCCTAGCCCAAAAGGGGGCGGAGGAATCCAACTTTGAACTTTCGTACTGCGGACTTAGGTTGGCCTGCGGGGGCAAGCGTTTCTCGCTACTAGCGTCATTTTTCCCTACTTGCGTGCGTATTTCACTACTTGCGCCGTTTTTTTCACTAATTGCGTACTAGCCTGCTGCTGCGTACGGTTTTCGCTACTAGCGTGCGTTTTTCACTTCTTGCGTTGATTTTCACTACTTGCGTGCGTTTTTTCACTACTAGCGCCGTTTTCACTACTTGCGTACTAGCCTGCTGCTGCGTACGGTTTTTGCTACTAGCGTGCGTTTTTCGCTACTTGCGTCGTTTCATACTACTTGCGTGCGTTTTTCACTACTTGCGCCGTTTTTCACTACTTGCGTACTAGCCTGCTGCTGCGTACGATTTTTCGCTACTACGTGCGTTTTCCGCTACTTGCGTTGTTTTTTCACTACTTGCGTGCGTTTTTTTCACTACTTGCGCCGTTTTTCACTAATTGCGTACTAGCCTGCTGCTGCGTACGGTTTTCGCTTAGCGTGCGTTTTTTCGCTACTTCGTTGTTTTTTTTTCCCCTACTTGCGTGCGTCTTTCACTTACTTGCGCCGTTTTTCACTAATAGCGTACTAGCCTGCTGCTGCGTACGGTTTTCGCTTAGCGTGCGTTTTTTGCTACTTGCGTTGTTTTTCCCTACTTGCGTGCGTTTATTCACTACTTGCGCCGTTTTTCACTACTTGCGTACTAGCCTGCTGCTGCGTACGATTTTTCGCTACTAACGTGCGTTTTCCGCTACTTGCGTTGTTTTTTCACTACTTGCGTGCGTTTTTTTCACTACTTGCGCCGTTTTTCACTAATTGCGTACTAGCCTGCTGCTGCGTACGGTTTTCGCTTAGCGTGCGTTTTTTCGCTACTTCGTTGTTTTTTTTTCCCCTGCTTGCGTGCGTCTTTCACTTACTTGCGCCGTTTTTCACTAATAGCGTACTAGCCTGCTGCTGCGTACGGTATTCGCTTAGCGTGCGTTTTTTGCTACTTGCGTTGTTTTTCACTACTCTCGTGCGTTTTTCGCTACTTGCGTGCGTTATTTCGCTACTTGCGCCGTTTTTTCCACAACTTGTGTACTAGCCTGCTGCTGCGTATGGTTTTCGCTACGTGCGTGCGTGTCTCGCTACTTGCGTTTCGCTGCTTGCGTTTGGCACCTCTTAGCACCGATCGAAATCGGTGAGCCCCCCCACCACGTCAAGGTGGGTGCCGTCGGGGGGAACCTAACCTAACCTAACCTAACCTAACCTTTTTTTTTTTTTTTTTTTCCTGGTTGAATCGAGGACCGGAGGCGGAACCGCGTTAGCATTACTTCACCTCCGGCCCCCATCGTTTATTGATACAAAACACTTATAGGTAATACATCAATATTATCACGCGTGATAGTCCCCGACCTGGGACCACCGACACACGTTCCTCAGCGATTGCTGGTGTGATAATAGTCTGCCGGTGGGCCAGGCCCGGGGGGACGTACAGAAATTTACATACTTGAATATAATAAGAACAATGTTTGAGGTGATGGCTTCTACGGCTTTCACCACTTGCGAGGGCTCTGCTCGGCTACTGCGAGGTGCTGGCCTGGCTCTGCGGACTCCTCTTGTGCCTGAAGACCGGCGGGCGGGCGGGTGCACGTTCGTGGACCTCTTCCAAGCGTCGGTTTCGCACATTCGACTTACGATTTTTCTGCATCCTGCGTTTTTTGACGTTTTTCGGCCGTATCTCGGCGGGTATTCGTCTGAGGGCTTCGGGAGTGGCGAAAATCCCCCCCCGGAGGGTCCCCCCGTCAGCCGGGGAGACCCCGGGTGTGGGGCCGCAGACCCGACCCTCCTACCCCGAAAGGGGGCGGAGAAATCGGACTTTGGAGTTGCGTACTTGGACTGCTGCGGTTTTTGACGTCGGGCTGGGTGCGGACGGCCTGGCGGCCTTCCTCTTGGCGGCGCCCGGAGCGCGGCCTGGTTCGTGACTGGTAGGTGGCCTGGGCGGCCTGGGCGGGTGCTCGTGGCCTGGGCGGCCTGGGCGGGTGCTCGTGGCCTCTTCCAAGCGTCGGTTTCGCACATTCGACTTACGATTTTTCTGCATCCTGCGTTTTTTGACGTTTTTCGGCCGTATCTCGGCGGGTATTCGTCTGAGGGCTTCGGGAGTGGCAAAAAACCCCCCCCGGAGGCCCCCCCGTCAGCCGGGGAGACCCCGGGTGTGGGGCCGCAGACCCGACCCTCCTACCCCGAAAGGGGGCGGAGAAATCGGACTTTGGAGTTGCGTACTTGGACTGCTGCGGTTTTTGACGTCGGGCTGGGTGCGGACGGCCTGGCGGCCTTCCTCTTGGCGGCGCCCGGAGCACGGCCTGGTTCGTGACGTGGTAGGTGGCCTAGACGGCCTGGGCGGGTGCTCGTGGCATCCTCCCGCCGGCCGCTTGCCTTGCTCGTTCTTCATTCTCCTTGAGTGTCAGGATGCCCTCGGTCATTTTATAAAACAACCTGAATCCTTCGGCGGCGTTATACAGTATACTGGACTTTTCATCGGCGCACTCGGGCAGCAGGTGGAAATCGGGCCCGCACAGCAGGTCTGGGAGGTCTTCAGTGGTCGGCGGGTGGCCCAGGTGGGCGCCGAGTTCTTCGCGGAGGGCGTTCCAGCTTGGGCAGATGAACAGAGTGTGTTCTGCCGAGTCGCTGCGGGCCGGGCAGTGCCAGCAGCTCGCATTGTTCGCCCTGGCCATCCTGTGTAGGTACTGCTCAAAGCATCCATGGTTGGAGAGGGCCTGCGTCATGTGGAAGGACAGAGGCACCTTCGGCACGGTCCTCTCCAACCATCTCCTGACATCCGGCAGGATTCGCCGCGTCCAGGCTGCCTTGTCGGTCGACTCCCATCGGACCTGCCACAGCTGGATGGTGACCTGCCTCTCTTCCCGTTTGATCGCGGCCTTGGTCGTGCGAGGTTCGCCTGGGGCCGAGGCGGCGAGTAACCGGTCCCTAATTCGGCCTCTTTCCAGGCCCCTGAGGTCGGCTGGGATAATGTCGGCCAGCAGCAAGGCGGCTTCGTCCGACACCGTTCTGTATGCTCGGATCACCCGCAGGGCGGCTGCCCTCTGCGGCCGGATCAGATTGGCACTCGTTCTGACGACTGCCGAGACTTTGTCGGCCCAAATGGGGGCGGCGTAGAGAAGCTGGCTTTCGACGACCGTCGCCAGGAGCCTGCGT